TTTAATCATGTGAATTCTTAGGTGCCAATCTGTCTCATCTGACAGCATCCCTGTCTGAGGCTCTTTTAATCATTTCCAAAACACCTGCCTCTATTTCAACACGTCCTCACAGCTATGCCACAAAGTCCAACAGGTCTGAACTAATCTTCCATTTATTGCTTTTGCAGATGCTATATCCTGGTGACTTCATAAGACTGCTGACTCTCTGTAGCTAACCTCAATTATAACGTGAAATAGAATCTACCTGGAAAACATTCCTGGGGTACAAAACTCCTTTTATTCTATGTTGATTTTTCATAACCTCAATTTTAAGAGTGCTTATCAATAAGTACAAGAGATAGAAGTAATGCTTCTCACACACTCCCTACCTTCTTAGGGCAGTAAAGACGGAGGGTTCAGACATGCTTTGCTGAGTCAATGGCGTGAATGGGTAACTAAAAAACCAATGAGAGTAATTTTGTCATAAACAAAAGCAGGTGTTAATAACTTCAGGTCCCCTGCAAAACTACCAGATATTTTCCAGATATTAGTACATTTACCAGTTTATTTGCCAACATACAACTATTGCATATTTAACAGAGAATTAATTTCCTTTATGGAAGAAAAGATTAAGGAGATGGAGACTTTAAACAGAGGTTCTAAGCTAAAACTTATAAACCTAGTAGGAGGCTGAAGAGAGCTAGAAATTTCTTATCAAAATTGACAGATGTTACACACTTTGTTAACTAGAAGGCACAGGACATTTGACAAGGGAAAAGCCAGGGTTTAAGCCAAACTGTTCTTTAAAGGGTGTTAAAAACCAAAGAAATATGTGATCATTCCAATACCTTTTACATATTCAGTACTGTGCCAACGGTCCTGAGGAGGAAAAGGAACACAGGCCAGGACTGTTAAAGGACCAAGATGCAATTCTACGAAATTCCAATTCCAATAGGAATGCTGGCTTGGGATGTGTGCACTTTTGTGGCTGAGGTTTCACAGTCAAGGCTGAATCTGAGCCAGTCCTAAGAAGAAGTGTTTTGGCAAACCTCGAGGGGGTCTGAGCAAAGGTCAGAAGGTGGTAGAGAACTTGGTCTGTCCTGAAGCCAATGAGGAGACCAGCTGGTGGCTCATGTAGACAAGGCGGTTGGGCGAGGGTGCTGCGTAAGGCCACCCTTACATATCTTCAAGTCATCAGCCGTTTATGAACATGACTAGTACGTTTTAGTATTTAATATTAAATGTGACTTGAGGAGTACATTTTCTATAAGAGATTATTTTAGAACTAGAAGAGATGGTATCAGAAGAAAAGGATAATTTCAGAAGTAATGCTAGTCTCAGGAGATTTCCTTTGGCCCCTTTGGGGATCTGTGAGGTCAAAACTATCTTCACAATACTACAAAATCACTATTTGCCTATTTCACTGTGTTGATACTTGCATTGACTATGTACAGGCAACAGTACTGCTGGTGTCAAGATAGTGCAGTTAAAATATACTAGTAGTATTGTTGTTTTTTTTAGATGTATTTTTATTTTACGTGTATGGGTGTTTCACCTGCACAGCTGTCTATGTACCAAGCATATGCCTGATTCTCCCAGAGGACAGAAGAGGGCGTCAGATGCCTGGAGCTGGAGTTACGGGTGGCTGTGGTGTGTGGTGTGTGCCGTGCCGTGTGGGTGCTGGGATAATCAAACCTGGGTCCTCTGGATAAGCAGTCAGTGCTTTTAATTGCTGAGCCATCTCTGTGGCCCCAAGTATATAGTGTTAAAGGTGTTATTGAGGTATGATTAATGTACAACAAACAGCATATATTTAAAGCATTTGATTGATGAACTTGATCTGTTTGCAACACCATGAATCCATCAAGATAATCAAGATGACAAATACTCTATGTCCAAAACCTCCCAGTGTCCCCTCATGACTCATGTCCCCTGACAAACCTCATTCTCTGACAACCACTGATCTACTTTGTCACTATAAATTAGTTTGTAAGTTTTAGGATTTTAAGAAAATTAAATTCTGCACGAAACATTACTTTTTTTGTACTACTATTAATCAAAGGCAAACTAAGCAAGTTAAATTGGATCAGAAGGACTACGCCAAAATAGGTAAATTCATTTCATCACAATAAAAGCTCAATAAAGCCAAGTGTGTGGTATGAGGCAAAACCTGACCAATCTAAAGTGAGGAAAAAGCTAACAATGTTCCTCTCTCTACACAGATAAAACAAACGCACAGACACCAGTATGGATGTAGGACACTTAAGCCCCAGGCTGACTTCAAGGGGACTTACAAGGTACTCCACTCAACAAGAAAATGTATAATTTCCAAGTTTCCATAGAACATCAAGATCAACCGTACTCCGGGCTATGGAACAAATTTACGTACATTTAAAAGGGCTAACATGTCAATTATGTTTTCTGACCACAATGGAATCAAATCAGAAATCAATGACCAAAAGGTGGTTAGAAAAAAAACATCAAACACTATAAACCGAATGTTACAATTTATAATGAAATGAATCAAGCACACCAACATTTGGAAGAGATACATAATTCATAAGCCAACATTTCCAAATAGCTAGTGAATGGCATTACATAAGCTCCATTGTGTGTTCGCTGGGCCAGGGCGTTTTACTACAGGAATACAATGAGTTCTTTCATTGTGGGTTCAGAGTCTATACCGTAACTAATGAACTTTTAAGACAACAGCCCTTATCAAGTTTGGTGTGGTGTTTAAAAAAAATTCCACAAGTATCTAAAAAAATTATTACATACTTCTGTTTTTCACCTGTGTATGTGATTGAGATGATTTTTATTCCTCTCTTAACAGACCAACAAATTGCAACAGATATGAGAATCCAACTGTCTTCGATGGTCAGGCAGTAAGATGACTTCCAAGATACATAAAATAACCTACTCTTCTAATCACATTACATTTCCAAGTATGCTTTCTTAGAATATCACTTGTTGTTAACATATAATGAGCTTACTATGTTACCTATGTTTTAGTTTTAGATTTTGGTTTCTTGAGACAGGGGCATATGTTAGATGAGCTGAAGCTACACTTATCTCCTGACTAATACTTACCAATTATCCCAAGACAATATAAAAAAAAAGCTAAAAACAATAACAAGCATGAGATTTAGTATCTAAGCTAACTGCATTTCTAAAAGCAAACAAGAACAGGGACTTATAATGTCTGAAGAGTTGGAACCCAGAAAACTGACAGGCGAGGATGGTAAAATGTCCACTGTCTTGGCTGTTCACAACAGAGCTAACGACCATGATGTGAGCTGGCAAAGACTCATCTGACTAAAAACCCAGACTTTACAAGGGCTTACTTAGAACTCCAGCTTACTACCATACTTACTGGTCAGGTCATGTGTGTGCCAGTGGTGGCTGTGTCTGAAATGAGGCAGTCACCTGACCAAGTCCGGTGAGAGGCATCTAAGGCAGCATGGCTGGAAGTACTTCACCTAAGCTGAACAAACCCTTTCTGGGAACAGGTTCACACCGCCTCTGTGTGCCTTATTTTTCTGAAAACAGAGGTAAGCATTAAATCGTGTTACTGTGAGGGGTCTAAGTGTACAGCGCTTAGAAAGGAGCCAAGGACAGGTGAGCACTTGGTAAATTTTATCATTGCACAAGATGCTGCTGAAGTGTGGTGGGAGAAGGCAGAAGCACAACCTACAGAGTGGCTGAGGGTGTGGGGAAGCCCCAAGCACTCTAAGAGTTCATCATGAAATCTGTGAGTTCCCGGGTTCAAGATCCATGGCGCCATCTAAAATGGTAAGGAGGCCCACCACTCAGAGGCACCATCGCAAGATGACTGTGTTGGCGTTTGGACCTGGAAGAACGGCATGGGGTAAAGAGGGTCTGCACCCAACGGCGCACAGCTGGGCCCCAGATGGAGGCTGGTGAGGGTAAGGCCAGCCTGCACCACACAGTGAGACCATCTCAAAAGAGAAAGGATGAGAAAACAAGGGGGAAAGGGGAGGGAGGAAAGCAGGGAGCTCAACAATTAATGACGGTAGGGCAAGGGTGTATTTTTCCCTCTTTTTATAAAAATAAAAAATTCTAACATTTAAAAAAGTTAATAAATGAAAACAAACTATTTGGAGTTGTAGTAGCTTTGTGAACACCTTGATTCATTAAGGAGAAAAAAAAAGTAGGCTGAGTAGGAACAGAGTGAGAGCCAAAGAGCATCATACACAGAAGAGGGTCAGGGCACGGCAGGCATGGGTGTGGCAGGCAGAGACGGAGGTGGGGAGCAGCAGGGAGCAGGACTAAAGGGGAAATACTTCTTTCCACAGGTGATAGTAAGGGGTGATAGGGCTTCGCCTATTGGGGTCAAGGTGGTCATGAAAACAAAGCTCCTGGCATTACCCCCTCTTGCCCCACGCTCAAGGCAGGACAGAAACCAGAGCAGGGGTCTGCAAAATCACTCCAGCAAACAAACTGGCAGAATATGCTGAGGAGAAAAAGGACATGGCAGTCTACAAACCCTGTTGCCAGTTATGTCAACACACAGCAAAGAGCTTTCAGGTTCTTACTTCCACAAGCACCCGGCAGGGCTTATGCCACCACTGGGAAGTCTCTGGAATCCTATGCCTCAGGTCATAAACCACCTAAGGAAGCCACAGCCTGAGCAGAGACTGAATGAAGGCAGAGGCAGCCTACTCTATGCTCCTGCTTGGAGCAGCTTCCATTTCTACCTGACTCACTGGCAGGACCAGGATTTCTGTGCAGGCCAAAGGGAAATGAAGTCTCACACGGAGTCCAGGCGTGTGCTAGAATGTACTAGAATACATCCCACTGTTTAAAGATGAAAGGGTGTGGGGAAAGTGCTGAGCAGGAAATACACAACACTGCAGCTCATCAGGCAGTGGGTCAGATGGTCAGGTCTCACCTGACTACCTACATGAGAAAATGTAGTTAAGAGAAGGGACCCATATTCTAATTTAGGATCCCACGAAGGAGCAAATTCTTACTAAGACTAAAAAGTATGAGTAACTTACCTGGAAAACATCTGTCTTGTCTTCAAATAGAGTGACAAAATATTTATAGTCAGCATAAGCCCAGAATTTAGAATGATCATAATCTTTAAATGGTCCAGAGACACTAGGCTGGTCACAGTTCCAGGTCAGAAACTCCTCAAGTGTAGCATCCACGTAACTACATGCGGTTTCATACTGAGGAACTGCAATGTAAGAGAACACATCTTGAGATGCTTAATAAGCACAAGCTCTCTGAATACTTTTTCTTAGGAGGTCAATTTGACCAAAATATAATTTACCAACACTTTAAAATGAATTTTGTACTTGTTCAACAACAATTTACATCACTCACAATAAAAGAAAAAGAATGATGCCGACCTGTAGCCCCAGCATGGCATGAAGGCTGAGGTAGGAGGATCTTGGTTTGATGCTACACAGTCTAAGAGTGAGAAGGAGGAATAGTAAAAGAGTTCTCCACTCTGGGGATCTATCTGTGTCCACTCCTAATTCTAATAACGCTCAGACATTATCTGCCTCAAGAGCATGTGTGTTCTCCAGTGTCTACACGACTGTGAAGGCTCATCTTTACTGTCAACATGACTGAATTTACAATCATCAAGAGGACACACCTCTGGGCATGCAGAGATGTTTAACCTAGGAAAGAAGACTCGCTTGGAACATGAATGGTATGGAGAGCCAGAGTGATGGAGAGAAAGAAAGAACAAGGTCCATGAATGCCAACACCCACCTTGGTGCTGCAGTGGGCACCAACTCAAACCTAGGCCAAAAGAAACCCTTCCTCCATTCTCCATTAAGTGGCTTCTTTCTTGATGTTTGGTCAGAGCAATGAGAAAAGCAACAAACAGAATGACATGTAGGTGCTACTACTCACTTGGAGCATGTGTTTATCATTTGTGTGAAACAGGGTCTCTCTATGTAGACCTGGCTGGCCTGACACTTCCTATGGAGACCAGATGGGCCTCACGCTCATAGAGATCCGCTGGCCTCAGCCTTCAGACTAAAAGGCGTGCACCATTACAATGCCCAGTTGTGCTTCTGTTTCTTAGGTTTCACATACTAAGTATCACTCCTTTAAACAAGGTAAGTATGATGAGAGAGTCTGCCTTACTGGGGTCCTTAGAAAATTTTAAGTATAAAGTGTTCCTATGTTTAAAAAGCCTGAGAACAAAAAGAAGATTTAAATTAAAATAACTTAAGGCAATTAGTGGCTTTTGAAAAGTTTCTACTTTGCATTGCATGTTTACAAACAGAGCTCCTTAGATTCACTAGCTGGACAATGTCAGTTTAATGTCTGCTCATTTGTTTATTAACTCAGTTACCTAAGAATCATTTACTTAAACACACATAATTTGTGCTTAGGTTTGTCAGGACACAAAATAAAATTATAATAGTCTTGAGTTTAGAATATAATTTAATAAGTCCAAACATGCTTGTAACACTAGCACTTAAGAGGCTGAGGTGCAAGGACAGTGAGTTCAAGGCCAGCCAGCGCTAAAAAACCAAGACCCTGTGCTATAGCTTGAATGTGAAACGTCTCCCACTGTCTCTGGTCTCCAGCTGGAGAATTGTTTATGAGAGCAGCAGGAAAAGTAGGACACTTTTTAAGGGGGTTGCTATGATGTTTTTTGAATGCAAAGGGAACCCCTAGGCCCATAGGAAGTGACATTGTTAGGAGGTGTGGGTTTGTTGGAGGAGATGTGTCTTGTTAGAAGAAGTGTGTCACTGGGGGTGGGCTTTGAGCTTTCTGATGTTCAAGCTAGGCCCAGTCTCACCCTCTTCCTGCTGCCTGCCAATCCAGATGTAGAACTCTCAGCTCCTTCTCCATGTCTGCCTGCATGCTGCCATGCTTCCCACCGTGACAATTATGGACTAACCCTCTGAAACTGTAAGCCAGCCCCAATTCAATGTTTTCCTTTATAGGAGCTGCTGTGGTCATGGTGGTTCTCCACAGCAACAGAAACCCCAACAGCTATGAACCCTGTTGGATATAGGGTCTAGTGGGCAGATACAGGACTAAAGAACAAGGCTAGGAGACTGTTACACAACCTAGGCCAGCTCCAGTCTGTGCTGGCTGCTTTATGGTCCACTGATAAATAACAAGCCGGGAGGCAAATGCCTACCACCACAGACCAAGCCAACCCAGCTGCCATGCTTCTCCCATGATGTGCACTGCCCTTCCATCTGCTTTTTTTGAGACAAGGTCTCTCTGCAGAGCCGTGGTTAGCCTGGAAGTCTACTCACCATGCTGGCCTGGAACTCACAGAGCTCCACCTACCTCTGCCTCCTAAGCACTGAGACTAAAGATGTGTGTCACCACCCCCCAGCCATGCTGTACCCCTTTAAACTAGGAGCCAAACTAAGGTTCTGCAACCTTAAGCTTTGTCTATTTGGTACTTGATCACAGCAATGTGAAAATAACTAATACATACAACCTCAAGAAAGAAAAATCATTTCAGACAGGAAGTTTTAACTAGAATGACAGAGAAGTGGCAGACAGTATATTTATTGCACCACAGATACATGGAGAGGGAATTGTCCTCACGGCTGATGGCTGACCGTGAGCTTTGAGGGGAAGTCTATGATGTGTGTGTGTGTGTGTGTGTGTGTGTGTGTGCCAGCTTGTTCTTATGACTCCGATGCCCAGGGGTCAAGACTAGACTAACTGAAAGGAAACCCGAGAGTTGCAGTGTTTCGAGTGAGCACAGGGAAGTGAGTATTTAAGAAATCTAACCGTGAGCTCCTTTGCAAAGCACGCAGCCCTTCAGGAGGGAGGGCAGCGCAGAGCCTGACACACGCGCGTGCCCAGTAAATGTCAGGCTCTATAATTCGTCCTTCTCATTTGCTCCAGTATTGGCTTGGAACTTTTTCAAAATTAAAGGAGCCAACATACCGGTACTCTTCTTTCAACAGTTTCTAGCTTCCCCTCCTTTCACTCCTTAAAATTATCCAGTCATCTTTTCCCTTCCCTTATTCTTCTTGAAATTACTAAATTGCAAAGATGTAAAGAAGCAAGCCAAATGTCATCTAGTCTATCTATTTCATCAATTTGTCCCTTGACTTTGTTCAGTGGGAAACTCCCGTAGCCACACTTCCATTCTGGGAAGGAAGAAACAAAAAACTCTAACCCCCCCCAAAAGCCCACTCCAATCTTGAGAACTTTTGTGAAGTACGTAAGAACAGTGCCTGGCAAGCAGTAAGCCACTGACATATATAAGCTCTTAATAGCATTGGCTTCCTCAAGAACTCACCATAAAACCAAGAGCAAAGGGAATTTTCCAAAAATGTATGTAGCAAGAAAAGCACCCTCATGGTGCTGAGAATGAGCCATATTTAATCCTTACACTGAAGTGGATGAGTTTCCCCTTCATAGAATTCAATCCAGCTGTCTAACTAAATGCTCAAGTCCTTAGCACGTTGGTCCTGGGGTAGAATGAACAGGGCATTTTGGTGATGGCATTTACCACCAGCAAGTCTGCATTGTAGTTTCAAAATCTGGCCTCATTAGAGGACTTCATTTCCTGTCACAGCAAATTCTGCATGTTAAAAATGAAGATCTAAAAATGTAAAAAAATGCACTTGAGAATTGTTACTGCCAGGGGAAAATTAAAACAAACAGAATGACTGGACATGACAGATCTTTTCACGTACATAATGATTTCTAAATAGAATCTTTTCATTCTGACAGAGCAGCAGCAGCACCGACAGTGCCCTGACTTCCCTCACACTTGCTCCCTCTGCTTTGCTTTATCCACTGGATTACTCCTTTCTCACGTTATCATTCTGTGTTTTTATTTAATGTTGAAGCAGTCTAGGCAGCTCTGGCTTTCAAACACTAACTGCCAAGTATTAGGCAAAAAGCTATGATCTTAGTCCAAGATTTCACAGCAATATACAAAGTGGGCTTGCTTTTAAACCTAAAACAAGGGTATTGTGTGTGAATACACACACACACACACACACACACACACACACACACACACACACAGCCCTGCCCAGCAGGAAAGCAGCTACTTTTCCATTTTAGAATCTCAGCACTTTGTAAACTGGAAAGACTGCGTAGAAAGTGACTTTGCTCAGATCTCTGACTGCTCCCCTCCTTTCCCACTTACCTGGGTTTGGCACTGTTTCTAGACTGGTTGATGGCTGCTGCCAGCGAGCGCGCATCTTGACCAATGAATGCGATTCAAATGGGCTGATAGACCTACATGCTATTCATTACCTGTCTTCTAAAATAAACTCAGGGGACAGAGCCTCACTGTAGACCAGGCTGGCCTCAAACTCAGATCTGGCTACTCCTCTGCCTCCCAAGTGCTGGGAGTAAAGGCATGTGCTACCCTGCCTGACTTTAAAAACCCTCTGTAACTATAGATAATTATAGTATATTAAACATTTCAAAGAGCTGGGAGAAAGAATTTTGAAAGTTTTCACAAAGAACTGACGGACATTTAGAGAGATAAATATGCTCAACTGACTAAATCATTAGCAATGTCTACATATACTGAACATGGTGCTCCATTAATGCATAAAACTTCTATGGTCTCTGTATATTAGTTAAAAATAAAAAATATTGCCAATTACTTTTAAAAGTCAGTTGCTAATACTATTTCAAGCATCCTAGAAAAAATTCTAAACAAGACCTAAGACAGATATAAGAAATGTCCTCAATACAAAAGAAAGCAGAAAATATCATTATTTACAAAATTATGTGTCTATTTTTCTGAGACCTACAGGAACAAATATGCTACCTATAAAAACAAAACAAAACAGTGGATACAAAACCAACATGGAAGCAAACAGCTTTTTTTAACCTATGTACCTATCAAAAAATATATATATATGAGGCTGTGTAGAGAGACCCTGTCTCAACTCCTCCATTATATAGATTGCATATATATTATATACATGGCAAAAATATTATCTTTACACTGGCTATAAATGAAAGACAGCTGCCATTCTTTTTGCTAACAGACTTGGTAAATAAAGATGACATATTTTTACATAGAAAGATACAATTTTAGAACAGTGAAAAGTTCTTATCAAAGTTAATTTTTAGGGCTTATTACATTTTCATTTAAAATCTCAGCAAGGAGAGAGTCCGGGATCACTCAGTGGGTAACGGGGCTTACCCTGTACACACAGGGCCTGAGTTCAGCTCCAGGACCACAGAGCCAGGCGAGGCTCA